TAGCATTTCAAAAGCATGCAAATGCAAGTAGATAAATAGGTACCACTTCTCAGTGGGAAGGTAAACAGCATTCTGTGCAATCATGCTGGCCACATGATCACAGAGTAGTCTCTGACAACTCTGGCTCTTCAGCTTAGCAATGGAGATGAGCACTGCCCTCTAGAGTTGGACACAACTTGACAACCTTCTTAATGGGGAATACAAAGCTTACAGAGATCTGTCCTTGAAAACAGTCAGTGGTCCAGAAAGCTCCTGCACAACTGCTATGTTACCCAGTATGGACTTTCTGGAAACACCTAAGTTGGTTTCCACTACGTTTGTATGCTCTATTTTACAGGACTGTCTCTGACTGTTAAAGTCATAAATACACCACTTTATGAGTCCCTTTTGCTCAAAAGAAAGCCCTCTCTATGTATCACCATATGGATATCATCCACTAAGAGCTGTCCTCTTTTGTGGTTGTCTCAGAGTTGTGAAACCTCACTTTCCTCCTTTTAGAGACAGATAGAAAAATGCTTAATTCTGCAGATCTTTTGGGAGTCATGATCCATGCTGGATCAGGTCAAAGACCTGTTGAGCTCAGCATTCTGTTTACCCACCCAGTTTCTCCTGGAAAATCTACAAGCAAGAAATGAACCCAACAGCACTTCTCTACTTGCATTTCCTGACATACTCCTTCAGTACTAAAGGAAATATATAGTCATCTTGACTTTCCACCATGAATTTGTCCCTTCCCCAATGCTTTTAAAGCTATCCAAGTTGGTTAGCTTTCATTACTTCCTACAGTTGTCATCATCATGATCTAAACATAGTCCATGTGAAGGAGGTACTCTTTTTGAAATCTTCCACTATCCAATTTCAGTACATGGTCCTGAGGTCCTGAACGAGGGAGAAAATGTTATACCTATTTATTTTTTCCACACCATGCATATATTATATATATTCTATTCTTCTTTATTCACCTTTGGAGGGACAGGTAAACTAAACAATCTCACATATTTGATGCTGCTATAAATTTTACATACATATTTGATATTTTCAATTGTTTTATTTCATAAAAATCATCTTGAGAACTCTTTTGTGAGGAAAAATATGTATAAGTCTACACACATTATAAATTTTTTAAAAGCCTGCACATGTTTGGTTCCAGAACAATATGACAGAGATGACATAGCCACTTCTTCATATTAACACAGAAGGGACTCACAAACAATTTAGCAGTTGTTTACATTTGTGAAATGCACTTGCTTATTTACAGACCTGAAGAACGGAGTGAAAAGACAATGACTAATTGCTACAACTGGGAAAAGTACATTCAAGAGTCCTTACAGAGTACACCTGTACATGATAATCTCTGAATATCAGCCAATAGGAAAACACAGATTGTGAAATTATAATTAACAAGCACAAGTGTTGTGGAGCAATGAGATACTATGTTTTGATAACCAGATTAGCCTGTTAAAAATAAATAATCTCCCAGATAATTTATATCAAGATTTTTATGTACTTAAAACACAAAAAAATAAAAACCAAAGAAAGAAAGCATATTGAAATTCTGCATAGCATTTTATGTAATCCTCCACATTTAGTTTAAATGCAACACACTATACAACTTCCAATGGAATGTTAAATCCCAGAAGATTAATCCATAGCATGGCACATCTAGATAGAATTGTATCAAGACAAAAAACTCAGGTAACTTCTTCCATAAATTGAGTATTTTGCCTTCCAAAGCAACTTTAGAAAAATCATAAAAAATACAGTCTGTGCAACTGCAAGCTATTCTATACAGAAGGTTGTTCTTTCATATTGTGAACTAGACTTTTGCTCTTCCTATCTTTCATGATCCATATACAGAAGTCTAGTTTTTTTTTTCTTTGTGCAAAATGTAAATTAAGAAAACGGAATCCCAGATAAAAATTGCATAGAATCAAATGCCAAACAGAGGTTGGAAAGGTTAGTTTTTGGACAATAACTCCCAGAGTCTCTCAGCTAGCATGATAATTGGCCATGCTGGCTAAGAGATATTGGAACATAGTTTGAAAAATCATAACCTTTCCAAACTCTAGAAGTCATATAAACCCAGCCATTTAAGAAAAGGGGAGGAGGGGAACCCCATAACAACTGTGTGAGCCACTTTAAAAAAAACTCCATTATTGGGTGGCTGAAAAAATAAATAAAATACCACTAGGGCATGCTGAGCTTTATGTGCATCAGCTTTCAGGCTGCAACTGCCCAATTATATCCAGTTGCAGAGACATGCTGTGAGTCAATCTGTACAGGGCACAGTCAGTGCATAGCAACAGCACTCCTGTGACCACTCCTCTCCCTCAGCAGCTGCTGCTGGAGCAGAATAGCAAGACAGTGTTTTCTAGTTGCAACTTTTCCCAGTATTCTTCCAGAGTACTTTACAACTGCAGGATTTTCCAGGTATATGAGCGTCACAGTACCTGGGGCAAATGAACAGCATCCAAACCAAAGCATGAACACAGGAGTTAGTTGTGATTAAGGTTTGTTAACAAAGAGTAAATATTTTAGGTAAGTTTATCAAACTGGTTGGGGCTTTTAACTAAGAGCTAAATGCTTTAGTATTGCTATTGCAAACATGCACAGTCAGAATGAGAAGATAAGCTTAAAGGCCACTGATTGTCAAGGACATGCTTTACTATCTGTTTGATATGCACTAAGGATATGGTTTATTTGTATACAATACCCTTTCAACAAACTCTGAACTTAATTTGTGCTCT